ATCAGAGTCACGGTCAGACTGTTTGTGCTTCGACATCGTGATTTCATGGGGGCGAATGGTTTTAGACAGAACATTCTCGAAGAAAAGGAATCATTGTCAGAGTGTCCGTCTTTCGAGTGTTAACTGTTGGCACAGAAGCCAAATGAGAAAGAAGGAGAATGTGGTTGTCCAATATCTTAGGCAGCTAGGGCTGTCCTAACAAAATGCCATACACTGGGTGGCTTAAATGACGTCTATTTTCTCGCTGGAAGTCCAAGGTCACGGTGACAGCAGGGATGGTGTCTGTTGAGGCCTCTTTGTGGCTTGCAAACGGCGCCTGCTCCCTGTATCTTTCTGCGTGCACACGGAGAGTGCGAGCTCTGGTGTCTCTTCCTCTTCTTAGAAGGACACCACTCCCTTTGGATTAGGGCCCACCCTTACGACCTCATTCAACCTTCCCACAGGCTTTACCTCCAAATACAGTCACATTGGGGGTTAGGGCTTCAACATATGAATTTTAGGGGGGGACACAATTCAGTCCACAACATTTAGGAAGACTTTAAACGTCTCAAGGCTGTGGGCAGGGGCTGACCAGTTTTGGCCCAGCTGAGCACCCCTCATCCCAGTGTCTCAGGCCCCTCTGTACCCTGGGAGGGGACTCACAAGACACTGATGGGTTTGTCAAAGCCCCTGGCTGAGGGCCCTACCTCCCCCTGCCAAGCACACTGACTACGTGAGGCTCATATCTACAGACAACTGGGATCAGAAACCTAAAGCATCAGACAGGCATTTTGACCTCCACCCCTGTGCCACCAGCACCTCTTGTCACACACACCACCTCCACAGGTGAGCTCTTACGTGCTTGATATCAACGTGAGTCATTAGAGACATTCTTCTCTTCAATCATAACAACACCAACAGCTGACACTTGTGGAGTGACCACGGTGGCCAGCACATCATCCAAACATGTGACCTCAAATCCCAAAACCACCTTGCCTGCTGTAGACATCACTCTGCCCATTTTACAGATGAGGAAAGGAGAGTCCAAGAAGTTAACCGAAGTTGCAAAACTCTACAACACAGAGAAGAACAAAGCAGGCTCATAAACCCCAATCTCTCTAATGCCGAAAACCACAGCCTCTTAGCCCAATGTCGGTTCTCTTCTCCCTCCCTTTGGCCGCTGTAGAAAGCACACACAATTAAGCTTTCCCCCGACTTTGTCAGGGTGAGCAATGACCACAGAAAATGGGCTCTAAATAATAATAAATGCTTATGCGTGAATGGGAGTTGCTGAATTAGCACACAAAAAACCCAAATGTTCATGTCTGAGTCCTTCATGCCTACTAGCTGGATTTCAGCTGCTAAAAGAACACCTCACGCACGCTTGAAGCCCTGTGGCCTCCCTTAGCTTTCTGGCCTCCTCCTGGCGTCTGAAAAAACACTGACACATCAGTGTCCTGCAGGACCCAGGAGCCAGCATTGAAAGCTTCTTTTTTTTTTTTTTTGAGGAAGACTAGCCCTGAGCTAACATCCGATGCCAATCCTCCTCTTTTTGCTGAGGAAGACTGGCCCTGAGCTAACACCTGTGCCCATCTTCCTCTACTTTATATGGGACGCTGCCACAGCATGGCTTGACAAGCAGTGCATCGGTGCACGCCCGGGATCCGAACGCGAACCCCGGGCCACCGAAGCACAGCTCATGCACTTAACCACTGTGCCACCGGGCCAGCCCCAAAAGCTTGTTTTTGAATAGCACAAGAAGTTTTGGTGAAGAGCCTTCTTCCATCAGATAATAAAAGCCACACTGGGGGCGTCCATAGTCGAGGGAGGAGCCACGTGGACATGGGGCTAGGAGAGGTGGACACCACCGAGAAGGCCACCTTGTCTTGTCCTCTTGCAGTCTTCCTCAGGGACAGTTCATCGCATGGAGCCTGTTTCCTGTATCTGAGTTGTTGGAGGTTCCGGAGCCCTTATCAATAATAGTCAGCCTGGGCCGGCCCCGTGGCTTGGCAGTTGAGTACGCGCGCTCCGCTACTGGCGGCCCCAGTTGGGATCCCGGGCGCGCACCGACGCACCACTTCTCCGGCCATGCTGAGGCCACGTCCCACATACAGCAACTAGAGGGATGTGCAACTATGACATACAACTATCTACTGGGGCTTTGGGGAAGAAAAGGAGGAGGATTGGCAATAGATGTTAGCTCAGAGCCGGTCTTCCTCAGCAAAAAGAGGAGGATTAGCATGGATGTTAGCTCAGGGCTGATCTTCCTCACAAAAAAATAAAATAAAAAAATAATAGCCTGCTCCAACTCCTGCGATGTTGCAGGTGGGTCCACTGTGAGGCTAATGAAGCCAAGGCTTTCCATGAACCCTCTCCGAGGCCCTGTTCCTAACATCATAGACACAATATTAGAGTCTTCTCTTCAAGTAGGCTCCCAAAATAGTATGAATTTTCAGCTCCACAAAACCTGGACCCGCCTTTATCATGTATTGTAAACAACACTGATTTGTAGAAGCAAAACAGTTTAAGCAGAATCATCATTCAGACGTGTGTCGATTTCAGTGTATTCCAGTGAGCTTTTTTGTGGAGTGACAGCTCCGAGGACAGAAAGTCACCCACATGTCCCTGTGAGAACCCGCTGATGACAGGAGAGGATCCGGAAGCTGGGGGGTCGTGCTCATTCTTTGGCCAGGATATTCGAATGTTAGAAAATGGAATAAGTACTGTTAGGACTGTAGTTACTGTGGTCAGTTCTCTGGTTTATCCATGGATGATTTGGCAACAAATATTAAAATCAACTGGAGCAGAATAACACAGTTCTGATTTTAATGCATACCAAAAAACAAGAGTAAGCAATTGCAACTTGAAGATCCAGATGCAGCCTTCGCCATTGTCCCTTTGCATTTAATTCACGTTGGGCTCTTTCTCTTTGGTGTTTTTGTGAAATGCATCAATGTCTGTTTCATACCTTTTAAATAAAGTCTTTAAATAACATGAAAAGCACCGTGTATGGGGGGTTGTCTCTCACCATACCCCGGATTTCCGAGACTGGGCTGGCACTTCTGTGCTTGTATTTCGGCCCGAGAGGGGATGGCGTGCGGGCTGCCTCTGAGCTGCGCCACGTTTGTGGGTGCTGCTGGGGGTTCTCAGCTGTAGCCGAGTGTTCGTCCTGGAAATCTCCGGATGAAAAGGGTCGGGGGTCACCCTGGGGTCGCTCACATGTACCAGGAAGTGAAGCAAAACTAATCCAGATTTACTCCTGGAAGAATTTGTTTGCCTAAGTATTTAAAAACAGATTAGGGCTCACCCGACACTGGATCACTGGCAGCAATGTAAACACGGGTAAAAGGTGGAAGCAAGGCCTTTTTTCTGTGCTCGGGAAGAAAAAACACCCCGGGGTAATGAGTTTTCTTTCTAGAGCGTTGAGGGGGCCCCGCGTGATTTCTCTCTGGAGTTGTAGCTATGTACCCTGACGATTCCCCTGGAGAAAATGCCGAATTTTAGGAGAAGGCCATTGTGAATCAGTGTATTATCTAAGTCTTGGTGGGTAATTACAGTCACCTCTTATCTGTAGGGCTTTTCTTTCTTCTGTCATCATCCTCATCAGAAAGCATGTGTCGGGGCCTCACAGAGCCCCCCTCTGCCTCCCCGGTCTCTTCTCCTGACTCGCCCATTTCAAGAGCTACTTGTGAAATCTCACTTACATCTTTTGCATTTTTTTGCTCTTTTTTTTCCTAGCTATGCTGCAGTCTTGAGGATTGCTGAGCTGTTTTCAGTGTCTCTTCAGCCCTTTTTTGAGAACCCAAAACCAAAATCCACCCTTAATATCCACAGTGCAGGCATAGATTCCCGGGGTCTTTTCCTTCAGGTCAATATAAACACACCTTGCTGTTGGTTTCTTTCTTTCTCTCTTTTTTTTAGCTCCTCTTCCCATCCTGCCCCCTCCTCTTTTTCTCTCAGCCCTCCTTCCAGATGTCATAGGCAGCTTCCCGTCTCCTTTGGACCCCGAGGAGCAGAGGGCCTGTGATCATACCCACCCAGCTCGGGAAACTCATCCTCAGAAGGTTGTGCCGTGGGCGAGGGGGCACCAGCTGCCATCATTGTGGCTCTCTGCGTCCCCGAGGCCGCCCCCCTCCCCTCCCCACTTCATCCTCTCCTCTGCACCCCTACCTCAGCTCTGGCCTCAGGGGGCCACCTGTCTTGTCTCCTAGGCTGGGCCCTAGGACACTTCCCCTCAGAAAACCCAGCCGTTCTTTGTCATTTAGAGAATTTTTGATGTTCTCCACTTAAGCCTTCCCCGAGTGTCCGGAGAGACGACAGAATTGGGCATGGCAACTGGGTTTAGCTTCTGTCTCTTTTCTAAACCTCCCCATTGGAGTCTCTTCCCTTTCACATGTGGGTCTATAGCAATGTTTTCTTCAACTGGAAGCGTTTAGAGACCCCGAGGAGTTCACACACACACCCGCCCGGGCAGGTGAGTTAAGAGCTGAGAGCAAAGGTCACACCCAGGTGGGGGCAGCGCGCCTGCTATCCTGACCCCACGACTCCAGTGAAACGTCCTTTAATCCCGACTCACGATTGTCGTTGCTTACAGCGGAGCGGACCTCTGGGCCTGTGGCGTCCTCCTGCACTCTGCCGGCTCCCGGGCAGCAGGGTGGTTCTTGCAGGCCACAGCCTCTGCGTAAAAGCAAAAGAAATCAAATGAGAGCTCAAGGCTGGGGGCCTCCGTGGTCCTCACACCTCAGGGCATCAGAATCCCCTGCAGGGCTCGTGATTTAGGGGGATTGGAGGGTCCTGAAAATCTGCGTTCTAACAGGTCCCCAGGTGGTGCTGACGCTGCTGGTAAGGGACCCCACTTTGTGAACCATGGGTAAACCTTTCCCAGGGGGCTTCCTTGTGCTAGCAAAGACCCTTGTCTCCTGCTATTTCGCTTCCCCCTCGGTGCTGTGGGTCCCAGGACAGGGGTGGCACCTCGGTTGTCCTGCCTGATTGTGACCGCGCCTGTCTGGTGGCTCTTGCAGGGAAGAGAAGGAGCGGTGGATCCGGGCCAAGTACGAGCAGAAGCTCTTCCTGGCCCCGCTGCCGTGCACGGAGCTGTCGCTGGGCCAACACCTGCTGCGGGCCACCGCCGACGAGGACCTGCGGGCGGTCATCCTGCTGCTGGCGCACGGCTCCCGGGACGAGGTGAACGAGACCTGCGGGGAGGGCGACGGCCGCACAGCGCTGCACCTGGCCTGCCGGAAGGGGAACGTGGTCCTGGCCCAGCTTCTGATCTGGGTAGGTCGCCCATGTGCCCGGTGGAGACTGGAGTCACTGTGGGTGCTCTGTTCTGCTGCCTGGGCATCTTTCTGGTGGAAGGCTGTGGTTACTAACCTGAAAATGGGAAGCAATAACGAATAGGGAGTTTAAGGTTTCAGTGTGGAGGCCCCTGCCTTTTGGGCTCACCTGTGTGAAGGCACCACCAGAAGGACTGATAAAAGGGAGGAATGAAGTCAAGGGACATGTTCTCCTTCGGAGGAGACAGTGGTCCTCTCTGCACAGCATTCGCTAGAGTTTCTGCACAGTTCATCTTTTTGATTACCCCTTGGGTCAAGCATGGTTGGTGGTATCCCTCTTGTTCCTTTTACAAAAACTCCCATCGTCTTTTTGCGGTGGGGTGGTGGGAGGATGGATATAAACTGAATGGTTTATATGCTTTTCCCATTACCAAATTTGGGGGCTTTTCATTCATGTAACCCAAAAATCCTAGACCCTAAACTTTGAGGTTTGATGTGGTAGGAGTTTGTCAAAGGGCTTTTTCTGGACGGTTCTGATTAATTTATACTGGGGAAAATTATTTTGTAAATTTCTATTAAAGCATTTGTCATGCAGCTTGAATGGGGAGAAGAAAGGGAGAAAGTGATTGTAAAGAGAGGCCCTGTCTGTGCAGGCCAGGAGCTGCTTCTGAGAAGCCCATGCACCCTGCACGGGGGCTAATTGCACAGCTTTGGGGTCTTCAGCCGTGGCGAATCCCCATCAAAGGGTGGCAGAGAGTTGCCTGGCAAGAGGGTCCCTGGGTAGGGAGGGGAGGTGTGTGCTCCCCAGGAATGGGACACTGCCTAGAGGTGGGTCACCTGCTGGGGGCTCTTCTGTCTCCACCCCCAGAGCAGGAGATGGGTCTGCCCCACACAGCTGAGCATGATACCAGTGTCGACATTTTCATCTGCCTTATGATGGGTGTGATGGGAGAATTAGATGCACAGGTACCAAAATCACTCAACTGTTCAGCTTCACTTTAACAATTGTGTCGTGGTCAGCTCAGCCCTAGCCACAGACTGGGCAGCTTAAACGACAGACGTTTATTTTCTCACAGTTCCGGAGGCCAGATGTCCAAGGTGAAGGTGAGGGCAGGGTCTGCTTCTCCTGAGGCCTCCTTCCTTGGCTTTCAGACGGCTGTCTTCTCTCTGTGTCCTCACATGGCCTTTCCTCTGTGCACGTGCATCCCTTGTGTCTCTTCCTCTTCTTATGACACCAGTCCTATTGGATTAGAGCCCTACCCATATGACCTCATTTAACCTTAATTACCTGTTCAAAGGCCCTATGTGCAAATGCAGTCACATTCTAAAGTACTGGGGGTTAGGACCTCAACATATGAATTTGCGGGGACACAGTTCAGTCCATAACAAGTTGCGTGCTGTCTTTCCCTCTCAAATTGGCCAAGAGTTCCTTTGATGGTGATGCTCCATGCGGACGAGAGGGTGATCAGGACAACTCCCGGACATTGCGGTGGAAGTGGAAGTCAGTCCACCCTTTTTCAAGAGCAAGAAGCTTAAAAATGTTTGTGTAATTTAACCTAGTATTTCCCCTTCTAGTCGTCACCCTAATAATCAGAGATCCTGAGAAAGATTCGATGTGAGGATGTCCATCACAGCACTATTTATACCAATGACATTTTTGTTTTTTTTGTGAGGAAGATCAGCCCTGAGCTAATATCCGTGCTAATCCTCCTCTTTTTGCTGAGGAAGACTGGCTCTGAGCGAACATCTATTGCCAATCCTCCTCCTTTTTTTTCCCCAAAGCCCCAGTAGATAGTTCTATGTCATAGTTGCACATCCTTCTAGTTGCTGTATGTGGGACTGTATGTGTATGTGGGACGCGGCCTCAGCATGGCCGGAGAAGCGGTGCGTCAGTGCGCGCCCGGGATCCGAACCCGGGCCCCCAGCAGCGGAGCGTGCGCACTTAACCACTAAGCCACGGGGCCGGGCCCTACCAATGACAATTTTTAAACACAATGTGCAGCAACTGAGGACAGAGTAACTGAATTATGTTCATGTGGAGGACTACTATATGGCTATTACATGTCATGCTTTTGAATAATTTTTAATGATGTGAGAAAATGATCACAGTATAGTGCTCAATAAAGAAAAAGATTGCAAATTATTTGTGTAAGTTTTATCTCAATTATGCATATATACATTTAGATTCAAAGAAAAACCATTAGGAAATACACTGAAATATTAACCAAGTTAATCTCTGAAGAGTGAGATTATAGGTGACTTTTTCTCTTGATGTGCTTATGTGTGTTACCTGTGTATTTCCTACAATGAAAATGGATTGCCTGTGAGATTAAAAAAGTGAGTATTTTTACAATTGGAAAGTCGAAATAGAAATAGCAAAACTAGAGTTCTCCTTGGTCTGTTTCTTTTGCATAAAGGAGGGGCTTTTAGTTGCAAAGAGCACATTCTTTCCTTAAAAGAATCCACCACAGGGCCAGGTTGTGCCACCCACACGTGACAGTCCACTTCCCCAGCCAGTTCATCTGCAGCCCAACCCCAGCTGGTCCCTCTCCGTGCACAGGCTGCACACAGAGGTTGAAGAAAGCTGCCCGGTCCCCTCCTTCTGTCGCCCCTGTCAGCTGTGCCTCCCTCCCCCGTGATGCTAACGTGGGCTCTGTTGCCTCTGCAGTACGGGGTGGACGTCATGGCCCGCGACGCCCATGGGAACACCGCGCTGGCCTACGCACGGCAGGCCTCCAGCCAGGAGTGCATCGACGTCCTGCTGCAGTACGGCTGCCCCGATGAGCGTTTCGTGCTCATGGCAACCCCCAACCTGTCCAGGAAGAACAATAACCGGAACAACAGCAGCGGGAGGGTGCCCACCATCATCTGAGGGGCGTCCGTGCCCACCTGCCCCGCCATGCCTGGGCCACCTGCAGCCTCTCGAGCTCTCCCTGGAAGTTACAGCACGTGAGTCCTGTCGCGTCCCCTCACTCTTCCTGGTGGTCACCTGCCACCCACCCACCCACCCCAAACGAAATCACCAAACCTAGACAGTCCTCACGGGGTGAAGAGGAGGCCAGGAGGCTGCAGAATCGATTCTTTCTCATAAACCCCCCTGATCGGCAAACAGGAGCGACCGAGGGCCTGGGTGGGTTGATGATAGCACACGGCGGCGCGGGACCCTTGTCCCCGTGGCCCGTAGACAGAGCACGGCACAAGGGACGGGACGAGAGGGGGAGGGGGGCGAGGAGAGGGGGTACCTCTCCTTAACTGGCTGTTAAGCACATCAGTACATTTCACCTCTACCGAACGGAACGCTTGGGTTTCATCTCTTCTCTGAGGAGCTTGACGGCATAAATCAGAAGCAAGCAGAGTTTGTCAGGTTTGAAGCCCCTATGATGGTATGTGTCAAATCAGTTGTAGCTAATCTGTCCAGGGAGAATACTGGCTTCATTACACTTGTATAGTTGAGCTCTTCCAGCATTACCGCTGTTTAATAGAACGTGATTAGTCATCACCGAGAAGAAAGCATATTAGCCGAGGAGGTAGTTACGCCGCACGCTCCGATGATTGCCGTGATGTGATTGCAATACTCTTAGAAGCATCCGATTATCCCAGACATGTTCTTTCGAGCCCTTGGAGCCCTCCTTTCTAAATTCACTGTCATAATTTAGTATCTGTTTAATTTTTCAGTCCAAAGAGAAGAAATCAGTCGCTGAATGTTATTGGACTGCATTCTCCTTGGTGCAAAAACAAAATGAAAAAATAAATAAGAGTAACTCGGAAATTCAAAAGGAAATCACAAATTCAGCTAATAATAACATTTTGAGTGCATTTAGTAAACTAAGTCCATGCATAAAAGGCTATTTTTTTCCCCAAACGTGAGAGAGATTTTATGTCTTTTGGCCAAGGCGGATGTCTTGGGTCTTAGTCACTCCTGGGCCACATTGCCCAAGTCACACAAGCTTCTGTATTATACCTTTAGATAAGATGTGTGAAAATCTATTTGAATAAAAGAAGTTCATAAATATGCATTGATTTTTGTACAGACAAATGGCACCTCTGTTAATTTATAAATTGAACTGGATGTGAACTAATAATATGCAACTAGTTGAGATAAGAGGGTTACAGATCATTGTACATGGAAAATATTCCCAGCAGTAAACACTTCCATTAATGTGATATACAGCTTTTAAAAAGGAACATATCAGAATAAGATAGTGGTACAATTTGCTTATTAAAATCGAGAAAGAAAAAAAAAAAGACACTGAAGCATATGAGAGAGGGGGAAAGAAGCATGTGATTCCTCATTGTTGAGAAGCACGATTTAGATCTGACACCAGTTTTGCCAACCCAGAGGAAGGAGCTATGGCAGGGGAGGGGGTGATTTTCTGGGTACTGGCCCCAGGTGCTTTGCAAAGGTAGATGGTGACTGCCACCCACCATTCTGTAGCAGAGCCTGGCTCATGAGAATCCCTAAGACTTTTCCTTGGCAGCCAGGCCCTCCATTTTAGTATGTCACCTGATTTGCTGTCATCGTGGTATCGGGCTGCCTCAGACTTCAGCCACCCTCAACGTGGTGGCCAAACATAGTAACCCAAATCATGACTCCTTAGGTTAAAAAAAAAGAGGGGGACTGTGCCTCGAGCCCTTTGGCAGTAGACGGGGGAAGAGGGTTGTCACATTGAAGGATGACACCAGACTGATGTAGCACAAGAACGCAGGGCGACACTCACCCGGCAGCCTCTGGGGAAGCCCCTTGCTCTCATCTAGTAAACGTTCTATTTTGTAAGAGTTTTTCCTCTTCTTTCACTTTAAAAAAAAAAAAATTAAGTGGGGAAAAAAAATAAAGCTTTACACAGAATTTATATGTGGATCAGTGTCTCACGGACATTCCTAACCTTAATTCAGCTCAGTGGAACTCGGCAGTTTCCAGGAATAACAGGTGCAGAAGCCACGAGTCTGAGGTCCATGCTCCCTCCACCCGATTTTTAATTCTGTGTTTTATCACCGTGTAGTTATTTTAAATGTGAATAGGAAGAGAAAAAGTGATTGCTTATTTTTGAAGAACGCATTACTGTTCTAATCCAGCTATACACATCCGCCTCCGCACAGCCTGTAGCATAGAATTTCCATAGTGAACGCAGATATAGTATAAAAGAAATTCTTAAATTATTTCATTGTAGTTAATTCCCACTATAGGAATGCTTTATCATAGTGAAGCCTTCTTTTGAAAAGAAACAGAATTCCCTGTAAGGCTTCTCTTGGGATGTATATGAGTGTGTACATATTATTATATGTGTTTATAATATAATATTTTCCCAAATGACTTCTTTTTTCACTAAGCCTTTCACGACCTGAATACTAGATTGGTTTTTGCCCTCCCCCCCCGCCCAGGGATTTCATTGATCCCCCCTTAGAAAGCTCGACCCTCTTCTGCTATTTTTATTGATGTTGATCTGCTCCAGGAGGAGGCCTGCTTTCTTGAGCCTGAGTTTTGGCAACAGTGGAAAGGCGGTAGTGGGTTTCAAGGGTTTTCTTTTAAAATAAAGGTGACTGGTGGCTAATCTGTTTGTATGTCAGTGTCAAATGAGCTGACGCCACTCTCATTCCCTCGTAAGGCCTTACTAACACCAAGGCCGGAGAAGGCAGACCAGGGCCAGGGTTAGAAATCACCATTTTGGGAAGGGGGTCGAGTTTTCATTGTTTATTCCCATGTAAGTTCTATGAAGTGGCAATGACATGGGAAGCCACCACTGCAGAATTCACATAACCGTTTCAATTCAGAATTAAAAATTCCCCTTAATGAGAAACCCCGCCCTGGGGAGGGCAGAGGAGAGGGCAGTCACAGGTGAGGTAGCTGTGAGGGTGGTCTGCATGGACCCCAGACCTCACCGGATTCCTTCTGTGGCCACGAAAACCCTGCAGAGGAAGGAGCCTTGATTCTGACCCTGCATAAGTGGACCTCAAGTACTGGGGCCAGCAGATGGCTTGCCAAGCCCGGAGCCCCAGGCATGGTCCCGGCCCCTTCCATCTCCTCCTTCCCGGGAGGTGAGCACCTCGAGGGTGAGCGAGTGACATATTCATGAGTCTTTGGTCCCACGAATCGGTGTAGTTTCCTGTCTCCCAGGAAGTGCACACTGGGTGTAATTATCCCAGAAAACAGGTGAAGACAACAGGGTGCTTGCTGATCGTGGGGCTGTGGGGCGCAGAAGAGAATAGCTCTTACTGAATTACTCTGGATGGGAGTTCTTAAGTGGGTGCGTTCTCTGCAGGGCCGTGAGCCCGGCCAGCACTGCTGCAGGACCTTGCAGTTCCGCCATCTTCTGAGGTTTTGTCCAGCCTGACGAGGTCTGCTTGGACCCAGCCTCTGCATCCCTTGTAGGCACTGGTCTTCCCAGTTTTGTGACACCTGCACGCATACAGGATCATTCCTACATCTGCAAAGGAGATGTCACTAACTTCGTGAGGGAAAAACACTATCCAGGGAGAAAGACAGCCTGGGGGCCAAGCAGACCTGGGTTCACCTCGCTTTGCCGTCCCCCCTATGCAGCCTTTGGTTGGCATCCAGCTTCTAGGACTCTCTTTCCTCATCTGTGAAACTGCCGTGGCCTTGCAGGGTGTGGGGACCAATGTGATAAATGCCAGCCCCACGCCCAGCCAGGATCTGGATGTTCAGGTGACAAGAGTGTTTATTAAGAACAGAAACAATGATAGGACCGAAGCCAGAGCACAGCCTGGACACCTGTCCCCAAGCTGGCACCGCATCCTCAAGCCAGCGCCCTAGGAGTCGGTGACGGCACACTTGCCAGCCCCCCGCCGTTTGAGCCTCTGGTGCTAAGCCCACCAGTGCTCTGTGGGCCCCTGCCCACGGAGATGCCTTCTCCGCCGAGGAATGAGCCCAGACTGCCCACTTACCATGTCAACCACCCACTTGCCAAAATTTACCCTCCATTTTTTTTTCCTCTGAGTTTGACTTTCCAGAGGCAGAGAGAGGGCTGTCTTAGCCTCGTCCCATTCACTAATGTTGCTTTCAGCCCAGGATGACCCTTCTCTCTCCTACACCCTGTTGTTGTGTTGCTGGCTGGGACAGGCCTACCTTCCTGCAGACGCCACCTCGGGTCACCGGGAGGCTACTGTGACACCCTCACCTATTGGTCCTTATTTCAGTGTCATTTGCCTGATTCCTGTTAAAATCAGCTTTCTGGAGAGCGCCGTGGCTGGCAGAGTGGCTTTAGGCTTACCGCCTCCCCTCTCCTTCACTGAGCTGCTGTGACTGGATAGGGGGCGTCCGCTGCACTGCAGCTCTTGTCCCTTTCAAGGGTGACATTCGACTTGTGCCTGCCCTTTGTGATTGCACTGTCTTCCTCCAGAGTGGCCATTGGGTCCTGCCCGACCCCCAGCCCGAGCTGTGTTCACGAGTGACATGTGTCCCTGTGGCTCCCACTCTGCCAACCCTTCCTCCTTGCATTTAGAATGTTCTGGAAACAAGAGGGGGACATCCACATTCCCGCCTAGGGAGGTGCAGAGGCCTGAAATAATGTAGATCCTCTAAGAGTAAGTATGGTCAGGTCTCAGAAACTTCCCAAAAGGCAAAGATATTTGGAGAGAAAACCAGTTACCTCTGGGTGGGCCGCTTCCCCCTGCCCCCACATCTGCTCTGTTTCCGTCCTTCATGCCCCACAATGTTGGTGCACCTTTTCTAGAACTCCCCTGGATTATATTTATGTCCTTCAAGCAAATAGACTGAAAAGTGGTCAGGAAAGAATTCGAATAGAAACGTGAAGATACAGGTCTCTCTTTCCCAGGAAACAGGATTTCTCTCTAACTGCCTCCTGAAACATGGATTTCACGTGTTGTGAAGTCGTGTCTCCAAGGGATGTCCACCCTCATCCTTCACCAGAAAGCTGAGTGAGGGCCTTTGGCATCAAGACTTGCGTTTTTCTCCTCTAGCCGTTATTGACCTGTTTCTTTTTTGGATTCCCAAGTGGTTTTCTTCAGGAAGCCCCGTGCTGAGTGAGTCTGGTGTGGGCGCCCTGGCCAGGCCAGGATCCCCAGTTGTGCTGCTCACAGTGGGCAGGGGGCCTGGCCACTCAGCTGGGCTGCTGAGGGGTGGCGTCTGTCCCCACTCTGCTCTACCCTGTGCCACCAATGGGTCCTTTGTCGTTCAAGCATCGGAATCAGGTTACCTTTCAGTCAAAACATCCTATTCCTTCCAGTTATGCAGAAGAGAGAAGGGGAGTGGGTTATCAGGTGGGGTAGGTGGAAACAGTGCTCAGACTTCTATCTCCACCACTGCCGAGAAGTAGTCACTGTGACCTCCGCGATGAGAGAGCACAGTGCAGGCTGGCCAGCACCCCCTTGTTGGACCTTCACCTCACGAGGGAAAAATAACGTGTGACAACGTAGACTTGACTATTTGCAAAACACGATGTTCTTCCCCTTAGAGAAGTGCTGTCCTTAAATAGATTTTTAAAAATATTAATGGATTCCCTCTTTAATGTTGACTACCTGCTGCTTTTAAACATAGATTGACACTTTTTTCCAGTTTGGGTTTTTCAGTTTGGGTCAGAGTTGAAATTAGAGCACATTTCATCAGTAGGGGATTCTGTAAAACCAAAAAGTCAGTTTTTAATTTGTGATTTTTAAAAAGCCCAGGTTTTAGAAGGGTTTCAGTTACATCAGTGTAGTACGCACCCTCCCCAAAGCAGTGGTAGGTACAGAGACGGTAAATTTGAAAACCTCTCCTTACCGAGTTTCATTTACGAAGTGCATTTGGTTTTGGGGTTTGGGCCTGTTTGGTAAAAATGTCCTTGTCTGAGGCCCTCATCCCATCCAAACGCACTACAGGGTTGGGGCCAGCGTGCCCAGGAGAGAGCGGCCGTGGCTCTGAGGCTGCAGGTGTTCAGACAGGAGCTGCCCCAGTGAAATGGACAGATGAGCCCTGGCTTCTAGCCACGTGACACCCAGCGCCCAGCAGCCACTCAGCGTGTGCCAGGCAAGGTGCCTTCCTGAGTGGGCAAAGGCACCTTCT